ATATTTTTAACTGTTTCACGAAATTTTAATATTGTTCGTTCATGATCACTGATAACATGTTGTAATTGTTCAATTTGTCGATCTTTCTACAAGAAAAAAAAAACATTTTGAATGAATAGAAAATAGAATTAACAAATCTCGTGTAATTGATTGTGTAATAAATCGATATTTTCACGTAGATCATGTTCGACTTCTTTAGCATTTTCTTCCATTTCTATTTTGTTATGAAATAAATAGTAGAAGATATGAAAAGAAAAAGTTAAGTTTTTGTTTATCTTTATCCATTTCACAAAGTGATTCTTTATTTTTTTTATTTAAAACAAAACAAAAAGGTCATAATAACAAAAAAAAGTAAAGAAGAAAAACTTACAAGATTATCAACAGTTTCTTGTAATTCTCGTACTTGATCTTCAAGTGAAAGATTTTTATTTGTTAATATATCAACCATTTGTTGAGCACCCAAATATGTATCAACCTAAACGAATCAATGATCTTAGTTTTTCAAGAAAAGATGCACTTTTTATTTTGCATCAAGTCTATTCTCATTATTAGGAAGCTGTGAGTTCAAACCTGAGGTTTTTTCCCATCAATATCTGGCACTCTTCGTGTACATGAACAAGTAAAGGATTAAGGTTTTAGCTATTTATTCGCTACTCTCAGAAAAAAAAAAACTCAACGTACCGTTATATCTTGTTGATATATGTCTCCGGTAAGCGCTTATGACGGAACCATTCAAATCGATACCGCTGTTTGAGCTTATATTGAACCTATAGTAGCGCCCATCGGGACCGGTGGGATCCAGTCTACATGAACATGTTGGTGAGACTAGTGGAAGCCGAAAAGAGTTTGTCTCCATGAGCAAATTATGATCATTTTATTGAATTTTTGATCACGTTTTTGGTACATACCGAAAAATCAAAGATCAGAAGTTCGACATAATAGTTTACCCATGCATTTGGTTGAATGACTAGTAGAATATTCTAAAAGTTTCAGCCGAAAGGAATGTTCTTTTGTTGAGATACTGAACTTTCAAATAGTCGTTTGTCACAGATCTGATACAAAAATTGAGTTTACTTGAAAACTCAACATCTCAATAAAAAAAAAAAAAACATTCTTTTCAGCTTAAACTTTCAGGTTGTTCTAAGGACCATGAAGGACGAATCCTTATAGGCTTCTGCTAGTCTTGCCAAGATATCTCTTTAAGCGCAAGATGAGCTCAAGTGACGGGTAGTTTCCTCGTTTGGAAAATTACGACCGTCACTGGTTTTGTATTATTGCATGCCCCTCTTATATTACTGGCAATATTAAGAAATTTGTCATTACTTTAAGCTTTACATATAGTTTCCGACTTTACTATTACATGCCGAATATGACATAGAGCTCCAAAGACTTTTTATAGAGCTAAAAATTACATATATTTTCATCTGAAGAGTGTGCACACATTTTCTGAATATTTCAAGAGCGACATGAAATTTTTCGAAATATAGTTTCTATGAATTTCTCATAAAAAATTTAATCGAATGTTTTGAAGATAAATATTTTAGTTCAAGTAAATATTATAAAAAGAATAGTTTTTATTTTTATTTTAGAACCTGTTCTGTTAAATTAGCAATTGTTGCTTGCATTGTTGTAATTTCAACTTTAGCATTTTCATTTTCTTTTGTTAATATTTTAACTTTATGTTCT